CTTGGTGCCCGCCATGGCGTGTACAGAGATCTCAGCCTCATCATCGAGCACCTCGACCTCTACCTCTCGTTCTTCCTCGATCATCGGCTCCTCGTCATCCGAGTCCAAAAACTCGATCAAGTAATTTTGCTTGCATCGATGTCCCGGCGTGTACTTTTCCTCGCACCGAAAACACAGCCCCTTCTCACGTCTTCGTGCCATCTCCTTCTCCGTCAACCTCTTCACCTCGGTTGCCGGTGGCCTAAAGGTGCCCGGCGGCCTCGCGTTCGCACTAGGTGCGCCCACGGTCGCCGGCACACGTCGCGGCTCCGGGACTCGAAAGTCCGCCCGTTCCCTTCGAGTCGCCCAAGTGATCCTCCCGTCTCCTAGCAACTTCCATGGCCTTATGCATGGTCTCCGGTCTCTCCAATCGCACTTCAGCCGCGAGATCATATCTAAGCCCTCCAACAAACGCGCCAACAAGCGCGCTCTCCGGCCACCCGCGAACCCGGCACGCCAATCTCTCGAACTCTTTTTGGTAGTCACGTACACTCCCCGTCTGCCGGATCCGAGTAAGCGCCTCGTCGTTGTTATGATAGTCTGAGTTCCCGAAACGTGTAAGGAGCTCGCGTTCAAAATCTTCCCAACGGATTGGTTGTTGCCGCCTGCGATACACGCGCGTGAGCCACTGCCACCACACGTTGGCCTCACCATCTAAGTAGTAAGCGACATAACGAACCCAGTCACGTTGCGACATCTCATTTAAATCGAAGAATTGCACCGCCCTATTCAGCCAAGCGTCGGGGTTGGTTCCCGTGAACGTCGAGAGCGCGATCCTTGGCTTCTCGACGCGAGCTCGCTCATGTACGTTCGATGCCTGCGACCGCTGTTAGTATTCTTCCTCCTCCTCGGGGTTGTGCTCAGCCCGCTGTTGCTCCTGTTGCCTTAGACGCTCGCGTGCGTTCAGCCGTGGTTGCTCTTACTGTCGCTGGAACCCGCGCAATACCTCCTCCAGGCGCTGCTCGAGACGAGCCACGGTAGCATTGGTGGTGGTCTATCCTTCATCGAGCGAACCTAACCGACCCTCCATGCTCTCACTTATGGCTCTGAATTGGCCTTCCAACCCTTCGACTCTTTCTTTCAACTCTCGATTGGCCATATATTTCCTTGCTTGCCTACGTTCTCGACTTCCCGGACTAATTTTTGATTTTTTTTTTTTGGCTTTTGACGATTTCTTTTTTTTTTTTTTTTGAACGAACAAAAATTAAGAAAGAAAAATTAAAAGAGAATGGGGAAGAAAAAACACACGATCTAACACCTCTCAATGAAAGCACCAATGATGAAGATCGTGTGTCCCGCCTGTCGACAAGCTGCTCCCGCGCCTTAAATCGCTCCATAGGTGTTAGGAGGTTCACACACTCGCGCCCCTCGAAACGAATAAAATTGCAAAAGAATTCGAGAAGAAAACTAGAGCAAAGTGTTTGAACAAAAGTTCGAATTTTTGTATTGATTTCTGAATGATCAAATTAACAAGAGGAAGGGCCTTTATATAGGCATCAAGTAGATCTAGTCCTAATATAATTATATCTCTAATAAAGCAATAAAATATTAAGTATCCTAAACAAACTAGAAAACAAGGAAACAAAATATTAATCAAGCTATTTAATTTATTTCTTGCTTGCGCCCCAAACCGCCTTGCCCGCGTCCGCGTTGCCTAATCGCCCAAGGACTATGACTTCATGTTCTATTCCCGTGCACGCGTCCAGCAGCTCGCCTAATCCTCGCGCGCCTAGGCAAGTTCGCGCGTGTACCCCGTCGCCTGCTCGTTCAACCCCGCGCTCGTCCCCGACAGTATCGCGCGCGTGTCCGTCCACATATCGCGCCTCTCCGGCACGACGACTTAGCGTCCTTCGCGCATGCCATGCACGACTCGCCGCGTTCTTAAGTCTTCTCGCTGTGTCCGCATCACGCGCCTCCCACGCGTCATCCGCCGCCATTGCTTCGCCTAGTCCTGCGCGGACTAGGCTTCGCGCGCCTACTTCCCACTCGCGCGCCAACCCGCGCTCCCAGCGACCGCCGCCTTCCTCTCGCGCGTGCGCGCCCAACTCTCCTAAGCCCGCGAGGCTTAGGCCTCCGCCTGCGTCTGCGCTCCCCTCGCGGGCCAATGCGGGCGATCCATCTTCGCCGAGCTCCTCGCGCGCGTGCTGCTGCGCACCTGGCTTTCATAAGCGGGCGAGGATTCCGCCCGCGTGCATGTCACCCGTATGTCCATCGCGCTTTGCTGCTCCCAGCGTGTCTCCAGTCCTCGTGGCCTGATCCGTCCAACCATGCGCATCATGGGCCGATGCACACCATTCGCCCATTAGCGATCTCCATCAACTGCATTGTCCCCGATAGCCTTCGAACGCTCGCCCGATCGCCTCTGAACGCTCGCCTGAGGGTCCTTGCTCGTCCCATGGGTCCCAACCTTCCATGCACCTTCCCTCTTCTCTAATGCAATCCCCGGCACGCCATATCCATCCATCCTTCATCCTTTGCCTACCACGCCTTCGAACCTCTGAACGCCATGCTCGTTTCTTCCTTGCACAAGGCCCACAACATTGACTTGCCTTTTGACCCTTTGCTTTGCGTCGCTTCTTGCCCTTGTGTTTCCTAGACTTCAACTTTGACCGTAGACCACATCCTTTCGGCCAATCTCTCACGCATGAAGGCCGATAAATCAAGCTTGATGGCTCCTTCAGTATGTTTTCCAACCATACATCGAGATCTTCGACCATCCCGTCGCCTGACTCACCAGGGTTGATGACCACTTCCGTATCATTCCCCTCCTCTTCAAGACTTTCCTTGTCCTCCAGGATAATGAAGTTTAACGCACCTTCCTCACCATTGCTCTAAATTTCGGCCACTGCAGCTTCTTTGGCTTCCATGAGTTGTCATTCGTGCTCCTCCGAATCTCTTCGCTCGTGAAGCTCCTCCAAGTACTCTTGCTCACCCGGAGTCAAACTCCTCTCTAATTCTTCCAAATACTCGAGATCCTCCAGATCCATCTCGTCCAATGGTATGAACATCATGACTCTCTTCATTTTTTTATTTTTTTTTATGCTCTCAAAAAATTCGAAAAAGAAGAAAAAAAATAAATTCAAAAAATTCGAACCTTAGGGGAGGGAAAAAATCGGACAAAAAGAAAAAGAATGGGATAGGAAAAGTTTAACGAAACACACAATCAATCACTCTCAACGAGAGCACCAATGAAGAAAGATCGTGTGTTTTGTTCCACTCGCTTGCCTCGAACACAGCCTCGCCACGACTTGCTCTCGACGGATAGGTGTGATCGACTCGGTTATTAGCCTAACTCTCTCACGATACTTAAGTTCACTTGGTAATTAGCCTCGCTCCTTCGATTTTGAACTAGCTCGGGTCTTAGCCTCACTAATTCGATTGCATGATCGAACTCTCACGAATCCTAACACACGGTTTGAACAAACGTTCTTTTCTATTCAACTCATCAATTCTGGACTGGACTCTTAAAACAATAAGGGAACATCCCTATTTATAGATCCTAACTTAGTCTAAGCCTAATCTTACTAGGGAAATTACTAAATCAATAAAATATTAAATCCTAAACAATCCAGATCTACTAAAGCAATATGTAAATAAAATCCTAGTAATACTACTAGTCTTGATCTTCAAGCCTTTTGCTTTCCTTGCACTCCAAGTTCGGCCGCCTCACACGCATGCCGCCTTTGTGCGGCCGAACTCGCGTTTTCTATTCCTAGTCGCGAGCGGCTTCGCGCGCGCGCCTTCCACGCGTCATCCGCAGCCATTGCTTCGCCTAGTCCTGCGCGGACTAGGATTCGCGCGCCTGCTTCCCACTCGCGCGCCAACTCACGCTCCCAGTGACCGCCGCCTTCCTCTCGCATGTGCGCGCCCAGCTCTCCCAAGCCCGCGAGGCTTAGGCCTTTTGCCCGCATCTGCGCTCCACTCACGCGCCAATGCGCGCGCCCCATCTCTGCCGATCTCCTCGTGCGCGTGCTGCTGCGCACCCGTGCATGTCACCCGTATGTCCATCGCGCCCCGCTGCTCCCAGCGTGTCTCCAGTCCCCGTGGCCTGATCCGTCCAACCACGCGAATCATGGGTCGATGCACGCCATTCGCCCATTAGCCGATCTCCATCGACCCAATTGTTGCTGATCGCCTTCGAATGCTCGCCCAAGGGTCCTGGCTCGTCCCATGGGTCCCAACCTTCCATGCACCTTCCTCTTCTCCAATGCAACCCCCGACATGCCATATCCATCCATCCTCCATCCTTTGCCTACCACGCCTTCGAACCTCTGAACGCCATGCTCGTTTCTTCCTTGCACAAGGCCCACAACAATGACTTGCCTTTTGACCCTTTGCTTTGCGTCGCTTCTTGCCCTTGCGTTTCCTAGACTTCAACTTTGACCGTGGACCACTTCTTTTCGGCCAATCTCTCACGCATGAAGGCCGATAAATCGGGCTTGATGGCTCCTCTAGCATGTTTTCCAACCATACATCGAGATCTTCGACCATCCCGTCGCTTGACTCACCAGGGTTGATGACCACTTCCGTATCATTCCCCTCCTCTTCAAGACATTCCTTGTCCTCAAGGATAATGAATTTTAACGCACCTTCCTCACAATTGCTCTGAATTTCGGCCACTGCAACTTCTTTGGCTTCCATGAGTTGTCGTTCGTGCTCCTCCGAATCTCTTCGCTCATGAAGCTCCTCCAATCACTCTTGCTCACCTAGAGTCAAACTCCTCTCAAATCCTTTCAAATAGTCGAGATCCTCCAGATCCATCTCGTCCAATGGTATGAACATCATGACTCTCTTTATTTTTTGTTTATTTTTTTTATACTCTCGAAAAATTCAACAAAGAAGAAGAAAAAATCAGAAGACAAATTATGCGTGTAGCGGTACCTCCACACTGCCAGAACCATTAATTAAATCTAGCATTCATTTAGTAGCTTCTCATGGGCCAACTTAAAGCAACAACACTTTTACCTCTTCAACGTGGCCTGTTTTCTCCTTGCGAAATAGTATATAAGCAACAGGAGAGAAGCCAGGAGTGCGAAACCTTCAATTTGAGTATTGCCTAACTTTAACCTGATGTTACGAAACCACCAGAAGCATGGAGCTCTTTGTCGAGATATCTTCACAATGTCATCATCTTTTGCTGTGATACTCATCCTCGCGGAAAGGTACTTATATTCAACATCTGTGTGGTGTGCTTTATACTGTTCTTGGTCCCCTGAGAAGAATTCATCTGAAAGCTCATTTGATACAGAATTTTGGGATGAATTGGTGACAGATGAATATATGGACTGTAGTTTCCTCAAAAGCTCCTGAGAAACCCAGAAAAAATATACATGTGGCGGAAGAAGAGCTTTCCATAACATCACATTCAAATGCAGTACTGGCATATTCGCAAGAAATATCTCACTGTAAAACATGTAATATTTGCTTATAATAAACAAGGAAAAATAAAATAAAATGTATTATTACTAAGAAAGAAGCCAAGCTAACCAAATTCCTCAGGATTTCTATCCCTCAGTAGTTCAGTTTATAAGATGGGTTTAAACAAATTGCATTTTCTGGCATGCGAGAATCTATTAATGTGAAACTGAAATCCTCAAGACATTATAAAATACAATATAATCCTGTTCACCTCCGACTATCCCAAAATCCCGAGCTTAGAGTCATCTCTCGTAGTACTCAGTTTCCAGAGAATAATAATTAGCTTACAACTTCAAATCTATTTTAGTTTATGCTGAGCTATGCGCCTTGTCATCCTTAAAGGCAAAATAATAAAGAGGGAAGCAAAAGATTACGAAAGGGAATAAATGTGGAAGTATCACGCAGCAATACGTTTAATGGTGCAATAAAAACTAGTTTGCAACCCAATTGTAAGAACATTGGTTTGACATCATGTCCGACAAACCTAAGTGTTTTCTAGAAGATTTATTGTTAAGCAAGCAAAATAAATTAAAGGGAAGTTTTTGTATTTATTTATTTGTGATTTAATTAAGTTCCTAATATTTATTATTAATAATATATGGTATATATTTATTGTAGTATGTATTATGGAATCCTAATCCTTTAGGAGAAGGATTACATAATATATATCTTATATATTTACTTACCATATATGCCACATGCCATAATTAGTTTTTTTTCTCTTGTAGGACAAGGAATAGGTGGCAAGGACTATGAAAGGATGAATTTTCCATACAAGAAGAGTTCTGAACGTTCATGAGAAGATCTAAGGAGGAATTGGAAAGATTCACCACAAGATCTTTGAAGATTTGGAAGATCGGCTATTCTTGGAAAGTCATGTTCTTACCGGATTCTGGAAGGCAAGTGTAACGCCCCACTTTTATTTACCGATAATCAGAATAAATTTTTCGAAATTTATTTCAAAAACAATATTTGAGGCGCTACTCTTTTTAAAAAAAATAATCAATACTCATCAATTTCTCAATACTCGGCAATTATCAATACTCATAATAAATAATAAAATCCTAATATTGCAATAATAATCCGATAATGATCTAGGGAAATAATCCCTATTAATATTCCAATATTCCAATACTAGAAAACAATAATCAATAATAATGCAACAATATCAAAGTTCAGTTCAAAGCGGAAGCATTTATTCAAATTAAAGACCACCACTCGCATCCCTTCCGCCGTGCCGCATAAACTAACCTGCATCCATGAAGAGCACGTGGGGATGAGCACAATAGGAAAGTCGAGGTGCTCACCGCTATGCAATAATTAATCTCAATAATCATGAAACAAGTTAAGTATGGTCGCAGCATGTATACGAATCAATAACCGTCCCATCTCCAATCAATAATCAATAATGGACTCATGTGCACACCTATAACAATAGACTACTGCCGAGCTATATACCGAACGCCTTCCTCGAAGGCCTTACAACGAGTGCCCGGCCAGCAGGAGTAATAATCCACCCCGAATGCTAAAACTTTCGCCTTGGCCTTACATACGAGGATCACCAGCCAAGGCTCACGCCCTGACTGTCAACAATAATAAAGGAGACTACCCGAAGGTATGTTCTATAGCTACGGGGATAACCGTTCGACGTCCAATATAGCTCACATCGAAGGCTACATGGTTCACATGCATACATTGATCATACTACAACAAAAACAATTAATTAAGACATAGTAAATTTTACAATTACAACCCACCTGAAAAATTGCGGTAGAAAGCACACAAAATCAAGTACGTAGGATGAGGCTCGACTCCTCAAACACCTACATTTAAGCGAGATAATTTATCAATAATCTATCTCACTACTCGAATTTAACATAAAATCCCTACTTAAAAAAAATTAAGACTTAAGGCTTTTAATCAGATTTTTTGTGGACTTGGAACTCTCTCATTTTTGCAAAATAGGACTCGAAAAGTTAATTTAGAGTCTCGGAACTTTAAAATAATTTTCTCAAATTTTTCTCATTTGAAAATAATTTTTTGAATTGAAATCAGTATTAAAACGGGCTTCAAAACACAAAATTTTGCTTATAAAGTCAATTGGGCCGAGCTGGTATGATCTGGCCCAAGACTGGCCCACATTGGGCCTTGCACAAGGATGTTGGGCCAGGAATAAGCCTGCCATGGCTAGGAAAAACGCGTGCCAGAGGATCGGGTTCGCGGGCCGAGATTACTCTCTGCTTACGGGCCGCGCGCGTGCTGGAGCGGGCCGAGTGCATGCTGCCAGGACTTGGGCTGGAAAAATGTGACAAAAAGAATATGGGCTACAAAGGAAGGGTTCGAACACGGGACATCGCTCAAGGAAATATCACACGGTAAACCACCGTACCAACTCGATCCTACGTTAATTAACATGAAAACAAATAATACTGAACTTACACAAGGGCCTAAAACTCTAGCAGAACGCTGAACAGAAATTTCAACGACGGGTTCTCAATAAAAACGAGACTCTAAATAAAGAACATTTTAATTACAGTAACACGGTTCGAAATTTCCCAACAAAAGAGTTTCCGAAAAATCCACGACAAATTCACAATCATAATTCGACGAACAAAATGATGTATGAATCGACAAGTCAAACGAAAATCGATAGAACGTGTACGATTTATATCTAACATGATCATTTCAGCAAAAATAACCAATACAGAGAAATAAGCAAAGAGGTTCGAAAGATTTTTACCCGTCTTCGGGAATCTATGAGCTATTGGAAAGTGAGTCGGACGAACGGGGCGAACGTACAAACTAACGGAGTCTCGAAACTTGAAACTATCGTGCAACGGGACTGGACACAGCCTTCTTGCCACGGATAGGTTACTCACGATGAACCGCGACGAACAAGACTGCTATGAAATGCTCCGATGACTGGACACGTACAAGCCGACGGTGGCTATGGATTCTCGAGATGGACGATGGCAACTGCGGGAACAATAATAGTTCGCGGCTAGGTAACTGATGCAAATGCGAGGACGGACTGGAAAGGCTGCCCCGATGAGATGCCGGCGAGGATGTCCGCCGGAAACAATGGTGGACGAAAATTCTTGCCCTGAAGAAGAACAGAGCTGGGGTATCAATATATTTTCTTATGTGCGGTTAGGAAGATGAGAAAATTCTCTTGCTTGACTCGATATATAATTGAGAGAGGGAGTTAAGATGTGGGTGAAATCTCACAAGAAAATCACAACTACAATTCAAGCAATAGAGGTTGAGGACCTGGTCGCATGGGAAAGAAAACAAAATATCTGCTCACCTATTACTGCTGGAGTGATTAAGGAGTTGGGCCTAAAAAATAAGAGTTGGGCTAACATAATTAAGGTAATTTAGCTGGACATCAATAAATGTAAAGGTAACTGGTCATTTTCTTTCAATTGGGCCAAAATAATAATGCTTCGGCTGAGAATAAAACAAGACATTGGGTTCAACATAAAACAATTAGGTTGGGCTAAAAAGAATACATATAAAAGGCCAAGGATTTAAAATACCATTGAGCCGAAAACAATTTAATCGGGCTAAATAAAATACAATGCGATAACAAGAATTTCGATCGATTCGATAGACGACGATAAACAAATACAAATAAACTGGATTATATATATCACACAATAATTATTTAAACAAGTAATATAAATAAATACTAATAACAACAAATAATAGCAATTTCACAATTTAGGCATTAAAATAATAATAACAATATAATAATAATAATAGTAATAATAATAATAATAATAATAATAATAATAATAATAATAATAATAATAATAATAATAATAATAGTAATAATAATAATAATAATAATAATAACAATAATAATAATAATAGTAATAATACTAATAGTAATAATAAAGACAATTTAAAAATAGCAATAATCAATAATTATTCTCCAATAATTTTAAATGAAACGGGGTATTACAGTCTATCCACCTTACAAAGAATTCCGTCCTCGGAATTCGAAAATAAAAATCGAGAAAGCAAATAATATACAAGGGGAACTCAAAACTCAAAGTTCGGATATCACCTCCGAAGCTCGGCCTCCTTTTCCCAAGTTGCCTCCGACTCGTCATGTCGACTCCAAAGAACCTTCACCAAGCTCACTGCCCGGTTCCTCAACTGATGGACCTTCTGGTCCAAAATAGCTACTGGTACCTCCTCGTAGGTAAGGTCTCGCTCGACCTGCAGTTCGCTGAAGTCCACCACGTGACCGGGATCATGCACGTATTTCCGCAACATCGAGACGTGAAACACGTCGTGTACGCCCGATAAGCTAGGTGGTAAAGCCAGCCGATAAGCCAAGTTCCCGACTCGGGCAAGGATCTCGAAGGGCCCAATATAATGCGGTTTAAGCTTCCCCTTCTTCCCGAAGAGAATCACACCCTTCATGGTCGAGACCTTCAGGAAGACATGATCTCCGACGGCATACTCGTGCTCATCCCTCTTCCGGTCGGCATAGACTTTTTGCCTCTCTTGGGCTGACCGGATATGCTTCCGGATAGCCTCAACTGTCTCCGCAGCTCTAAGAATGAACTCCGGACCCATGATCGTCCTCTCCTCGACCTCATCCCAGTACAAGGGTGTTCGGACCTTACGTCCATACAAAGCCTCGAATGGGACCATCTTGATCGTGGAGTGGTAGCTATTGTTGTAAGTCAGCTCGACCAAAGGCAAGGCACTCTCCCAGGTTAGGCTACGGTCCAAGACCACAACCCTCAATATGTCTTCCAAGTACTGGATTGTCCGCTCTGACTGGCCATCTGTCTGAGGATGAAAAGTTGTATTGAACTCCAGCCTCGTCCCTATGGCTCGGTGCAGGGTCTTCCAGAACTGGCAAGTGAACTTCGCGTCTCGATCAGACACAATCTCCACAAGAACTCCATGAAGCTTGACAATCTCATCCACGAATAACTCGACATAC